GGCCGCGGGGACCCGAACATCTGTCCGCAGCCCTGGTCCCCAGCCACTTCCGAGGCTCCGGGAGCGGGAGAGCAGCTGGTTGGGGGAAAAAAAGTGTATTTCCTCCCCTTTTGGCTCCGTGAGAAAGGCGCTCTGTGTCTATTCAGGCTTTTGCCGAAAGGGCTTTTCAGCTGCCTCTCGAGAGCTGCGGTTTCTCTGCAATCAGGTCGGAGACAAAAGGCCTCCAAAAAAAAAAAAAAAAAAAAAAAAAGTAAAAGAAAATCAAGAATTGGATCCAGGGATCTGCAGCAATACTGGGAAGTCAGGGCTGTGGGATTGGGTTCCTGTGTTTGTATGGTCTCCTCGCTATTTTTCTTGCCCGGTGAGAGGCTCCTTTAGCATGGCAAGTCCTGGCTGCCCAGCTGGCAGTGCCACACGGGGCACAACCCACAGTCTCAAATGGCCTCAGGGTTTCTACCCCAGGACCCCGAGAAGTGGGGTAACCAGAGCAGGGTAGATCCCACCACGGGGATGCTGCAGACACCGGGGCATGCCCAAGTATCACAAACACTATTTGTGCAGTGGCGGGGATGAACGGAGCACGTGACGGGAGGAAAAATGCAAATTGGACAAGGTCCCTACCCCAAACTGCCGCAGTCTCTCATTGTGGCACTGCGCTGGGCCAGGCCCAAGCCCAAAGGAGCCAGACTGCAGCACACACAACGCGCACGGCCTGGGAGAGGAAACCCGGAGCTCGCCGCCTACACAGAGGATGAGGGGGAATTGAGGCCCCGAGGTTTGGTGTCAGTAAAATAGCAGGTTAGCGGCTCACCCAGGAGCAGATTTCAATCCAGTCCTGCCATCCCATCCTCCAGCCCCTCACTGGAAACACGACGTCTCATTTAGCAAGGTGTAATTATAAGGGTCAGCAGTCACTGGTGGCCACATTTGGCATGCACATCGTACTTATTTTCAGGAACAGATCCCAAAGAGCCTTGTAAATTGGGACAGACAAGGAAGCAGAAGGCGCTCCTCTGTCTCGGACTGCATTTGCCAAGAGGCAGATTTTCTGACGTGAGAAAATCTCAGTGCAGCTCTCGGTGATCTTGGCTACGCGACATCCCCGCACAGCCCCTGCCCTGCCTGCCCAAAGAGAAGTGATGGGGGCAAGGAGGAAGGTGGCTGGGGAAACCTGGCAGGGCAGAGGTGGCTTGTGGAGCTCACGGGTGGGCGCGCAGTGTTGGCTGGGCTGGAGCCACGTGGGCAACGCTGGTGTCAGGAAACAGGGACAACTGAGCAGCACGGGGCCCACTGCTCCCTGGAAAACACTCCCTGCCCAAGCATGGAGAGGGCTGAAGCTTGAAGTAGGGAAGCTGATTAGTCTGACCACAAAGCAGAGCTGAGATGTGCATTGGGGAAATGAGAGCTTGGAGAGCGCCGAGAGGGGGAAATGCGGGCGCTGACAGGGAAGCGACGTGCTGCATGCCAGGGCCCAGGGGCAGAGCCTGGCGGGGCCCTTGTGAACCCAGCAGCCGATCTGCCCCCCTCCAGGCCTCGTCAGGACCACTCGGTCACTCTGTCGTCTTCAGGCACCCAGGGATGCCCTGGGGTTGGGAAGATGCCTCCTGTGCAGACTCTGCACACAAGGGGACGGGGATGCTCCCTGCAGGTGTGACAGTGAGGTGACAGCGGCACGCAGTTTGCTGGGTGCCCGTGCCCATCACTCCTGCTCGAGCAGCCAGCAGAGCTTCTGGTACAACGAGGGTGACCAGGATCCGCCCCCATGCCACCCCTGCTGCCCCCAGCCTGCCCACCACCCTGGGGTGCCAGCCCTGGGCAAGACGGGCCTTCATGGGAGGGAAGGAGGAGCAGGCAGCCCCCCGGCACCTGC